TTTAATTATAAATTTTATTTATTTAGATGTAAAATTAGTAATGTGTGTGTATATATATATATATATATATGTGTGTGTGTGTATTTATTTATATAACGAGCGAATTGAGAATTTAACCTTTCTTATTTCTCCTCTTGTGAAAATAAATGTTACGACAAAATTTTATTTTCAGACTCCACGTGCCCACCCGTTATGCAATGGTTTCACTAGCCGGTGTCTCGCCGGAGCCTCTCTCCGCATCGGGTCGGAGCTCCGAGAAATTGAGCCTTCTGCCTTTCCAATCCCAAATGAAAACTGACCCATAAGGCTACAAAACGGAGCTCCATCTATTCCACAGCCAATTCAATTCCGCTCTCGAGCTCTTCCGACAACAAGTGGCTCTCAACTTCTCCTCCATCAGCGGCGTCAGTGCGGACCCAACCGTGGCCAAGGACCTCAGCCATCGCGCCATGTTCTTGGCCCATGTCACGCCGTTTTATCCCAAGGTGCTCGCCGAGTTCCCTTCCGATCTCATTGCGTTTCTCAAATCATCAGCGAGGACTCTCCCCTCAGGGCTTAGGTCCCACGTCACCCAAGCCCTCATTCTCCTCGTTAATCGGAAGGTGACGTGAAAAATTAGTTATAGTGTTTTTTATTATTAATGTTAAAAGGTTAAAACATTTTTTGGTCATTATTCTTGGATGCTTTAAATTTGACTTGAAATTTTGAATTTTGGTTTTCGGCAGATTATTGATATAAAAGACACTCTATCATTGTTCATGGAGTTGCAGATACTAGGAGATAGGAATTTGAGGAAATTAGCATTTTCTCATGTTGTTCATAGTATTAGAAGAATGAATAAGAATCATAAGAACGAGGCCAAGAATCGCTCCCTCCAGAATATCTTGTTTGCAATATCGCAGGTTTTTAAACAATGCTATTTGAATTGGTGTTTTCCTGTTTTAAATTGTTGGGTTTCTTAGATATATTTTCTATGTGTTTTATAGCAAGTAGATGAAGCAAGAGCAAAAAGGTTCCTTATTACCTTATGTGAACTTCATCGAAGAAAGGTTTGGTTTGATGACAGAACAGCAAATGCTATTTGTATGGCATGTTTTCATTAATCATTGAGGTATGTGTGGTTTTTGTGTGGTTGAGATATGCTGTTTATGCTATTGAGTTCAAGTAAGTCTATTTTTTGTATTCAAATTTTGCAGAATAATGATTGCTGCGCTTTCATTTCTCCTTGATTATGACAAGATTGAAAATGATGATGAGGATACTGATGCTTCAAGTAGTGAAGATGAAATGACTCAAACGCATCAAGTTGTCATCAGCAAAGAGACTGTCTACAAGGTCATTTGCATCCTGTGATTCATTTTCTATTTTTTCTTTGAACCACTCTTTTATGTTATTAGTGCCAACTAGGTGAAGTTTCCTTGCTTCTACCAAAAATGGTATGCTTAAAACACTCTTAGCTTTTGTGGATTTATGACCATATAAATAAGTTTGAGGTAATTGACTGACGTTTCAAATTTCAATGCCCAGCAGTTTGTCAGTTTTTTTTTTTTTTTTTTGCTTTTAAGAAACAGTATTGCTTGTAGTTTGTCATTAAATTATATGATGTGTATTATATTATCTGGTGCACCGTAAGGGTACAGCTGCTAGCAAGAAGAAAAAGAAAGCAAAACTACGGCACGGTATTCGTAGCATGAAAAGGCAGCAACACCTGTCATCAGAAAGTAGCACTTATGGTTATTATTCACCCCTTTACCATCTAAAAGATGCACAGGTTTTGCCATTTTCACACATTTTACTAGTCGCATTTGGTGTAATGTTGTATTTTGTAGAAAGCTTAATGCTCTGTTTTGCACACAGGGATTTGTAGAAAAGCTATTTTCTCACCTCCAAACCTGCAACGGAACGTTTTGAGGTGAATGCTTTTCCTGATGTTTCTAATTTGGCAGATTTTACTTTGCCTCCTGTGACAGATTCAACCTTCTCTATCTGTCATAATGTTTTCATTTTCTTTATCCTAGCTGATTAAGTTTTTATATTTCTTTGCCATTTCCCTAGCATTGAATGTCTAAGTTCTGGTCATAAAAGGTTTAGGTTAGGTTTATATGTAGTTTGCTTTCACGCAAGAATTAACTCTTATATTAAATTGCCTCGCTTATTTCGAGCCTCCTCTTTTGTTTAACTTCAGGTTAGAATGATGATGTTGAAAGTGATTGCTAGAACAGTTGGGCTTCACCGCGTGATATTTTTAAATTTCTACCCTTTTCTTCAAGATATGTTCAGGTGTGCTATCTTTATTTTAAGTGTTCCATTTTACAGAAAATATAATTGCCCTGGTTAATAGGAGCCAAATGTATTCTTCTCTGCAGCCTCATCAAAAAGATATCACTAATTTACTTGCAGCAGCAGTTCAGGCCTGTCATGATATGGTATGGTTTTCCATTTGATTGTTTAAATGTTTTGCTCAAACTATTGCCTCTTTTATTCTCTTATATCTTTAGCTTTCTCTGGTTTCTTGCCACCAAATCAATCTTGTTTAAGCAGGTTCCTCCTGATGCAGTTGAGCTTACTCAAACAAATAGTAAATCAATTTGTACATGATCATTCACGTCCAGGGGTATTGCTTATGACTTAAAAGCTGCTTTATATATCATTTTTCCTTTTACTGATTGATCAAATTTTTGGTTGATTTTCTAGGCCATTGCTGTTGGACTGAACGTGATTAGGGAAATATGTTTGCGCATGCTGTTGGTAACTATCTATGTCATTTGATTTCTGAATCAGTGAATGCACCGATTCACGTTCATCTCCCCAGCTCCTACCCTCAACGGCTCAGACATACACAAAACCTAAAATTCCTTCAATTATTTGTCTGATATATTTGAGGTGCTTCTGCTATAGTGAATCAATTGCTACAAGTTACTGAATTTATTTCATCAGTGCATTCACTTATGCGTACTGTATTGCTTAGAATCTGTTAAAACAATCATTTGTTTCTTGGTACTAGTTGATGACTGAAGATTTGCTACAAGATCTCGCATTGTATAAAAAATCACATGAAAAGGCAGTTTCAGCTGCAGCTCACTCACACATTACTTTGTTTAGAGAGGTATACAGTTGTCTTTCCATACTTTTTTTGTGTGCACATTCCTGCTTCTCTGATATTTTATTTTCTTTGTTTCTTTTGTTTCTTCGTGTAACTTGACCGCATATTTCTCCATTTGTTTTATTTTCAGGTTTGCCCTTCACTGCTGGTTAAGAAGGACTGGGGACGTCCAGTGGACTCTAAGGCAAGATCAAAGGCGTATGGAGAAGTCAATGTCCTTAGCAATGTTCCTGACATTGAATTATTGGAACATGAAGATGAAATTGATGGTAGTGAGGATGATGAAATTTGTGATGAGGCTGCACCTAGTAGTTCTGATGATGGCAGTGAAAATAATGATGATGAAAAAAGCCAATATACTACAGATGATGGAAGTGAGGATGAAGAAGATGATGAGGATAAGAGTTATATTGATGATGACGACAAGGACAAGGTTGAGACAGAGGAGTTGGAAGCTGAAGAGGATGATGACTATGAAGAAGTTGTTGGTTCTTCTAGACTAGGTGACAGCGCTGGAGATGGTGGAAATGAAGATCAAAAGTCAAAAGCAAGAAAGAGAAAATCGTCTGATTTTGAGGATCAACTTATTGCCGCTGATACAAGTCTTTGTGCTTTAAAGAGGTTGGCAGAAGCAAAGATGAGCTGTGTTACGTCGGACTCAACAGATGGTATTCTTTCTGAAGGACCAAGAAACTTAACGTATGTTAAATTTGTTCTAACAGATCTAGGCTCAAGTTGACACCAAAAGTGTGACCATGTGCTGATCTGGAAGTTAATTTATAATTGCTTTTAATATGCTTAGCTACACTTTCTATCAAAAGAAATATACTTTGTTACACTAGTTTAGACAGAATAAAATCATTTATTTTTTGGGGTTTTCCTTCATTTATGTTATCAGGCTAAGAAGGAAGCAAAAACTGCTTTGGCTCAACAAGGGTTCAAGATTCCAAGTTCTGATCAACTGAGTTTTAAACGAGTGGATCCTACAAAGCTTGAAGTATGTCTTCTCTGTCTTTACTGATAAATACTCTTTTCCCAGTTAAGGACTGTTCTTAGAAACATTTATTCACAAAGTTCTTATACGTGCTACATAGGCCCGGGTTCGACTCAGGCTTAGCAAGGAGGAAAGACTGGCGTTAGTAAAAGCAGGAAGGGAGGACAGAGGGCAGTACGAGGCTCGAACTGCTATCAAACAGAAAAAGTTATTTTGGTTGCTCTTACATTTTATGGGCCAGTTTTCCAGGATGTTAGTTTGAATTTTTAGCTTGAATTTTAGTTTGAATGCTTGGTCCATCTAGATGTCTAACATGATAGCACTTTCAATTAAGATGTTTGTATCTTACCATGTTTTCCTTGTCTATGGTATTTATCCCCTTAAACTTCTCAGTTCAAGAAACTTAGATTGGTTAAAAGTAGACATAAAAATTTTAAAAACGAAATGGTCACACAACATGAAAATGATATTAAAAAAAAAAAAAAAAAACAAAACAGCAATATTTAAAGTTTTAGAAAAATCATATATCAATTTAGTAAAATAAAAAATATATTTCGTATTGGATATGATAACATGAATTGTGACGTAACAATTTTCGTATTTGTGTCTTACCCGAATTGTCAAGGCTAGTTAAAAGGCATGTAAATCTTGCCACTAGTTGGTCCTTCGTTAATACGTTTATCATGTTTCATTCTTTTCTTCTGTCTGTGATGATGTGAACAGACGAGCGGTCAAAGCAACCGTCAGAAAGAACACAAGAAGCGTATGCCTTTAGCTGCAAAGGTCTAAGACTCAAAGAATGTCGACAAGAGAAAAGTAAGAAGAGGCAACGTTCTGGCAAACAGTTCCGTGGGAAGAGAGCTTGGAAACAATGAACGCATGCATATAGACACAGCAAGCGGGTTCAAAGTTGATTGTTCTTGTTCTTTTATTTTCATTTGTAATTCTACTTTCACCATGCGAGCATGGTGTTATTACAACGTATATGCGAGGGAAGGAGAAATGTCCAAGTCTCATTTGTTGCTGCAATGCATATTTGTCATAATTTATACTATTGGCAGTGCCTATTGCAACCTGGGTTCATGCCAAACGATTCCAAGTCTCATCCAAATCCATAACCAAGATCAAGATTTACCTTATATGGTAGTTCCTACACTTTAAAACAAGAAGTCAAGGGACAAAATATGCAGATATCATTTATTGCAACTGATGATAGGTATAACTTAATTGCAACTTGAGACTGCAACTGCAAAGCCAAATGAGCTCATTTATAACTTGAGCTACATTTCAATTGCGTCCAGGCATCATCATAGGCAAGAAATAAGAGGGGAAAAAGAAATAAACAATAGCCAAAATATAGCCGAGCAAGCAGAGCCAAAAGACAGCTTACTCTTCAACTAAACGCAAAGGTGAATCACTAGTCTGGCCAAATATATCGAGGATTCCATCCCAATTCCTTTTCTCTCTTGCTTCCCAGTAGCCTCCAATATAACGATAACAACCATCCTCATCCTTCTGAAACCATCTTGGCTGCCATCCTCTCTCTTGTAATTTTCTTGCCTGAATCACCGTATAATAAATAAATCAAATCAAATCAAATCAATGAATGATTTATCTGCTGAAAGTACAGAGAATCTAATTAATGCTCTTTCCTTCTTGAAGAGCAGAGAACAACGATAGTATATTACACCACACCATAGAGTCGAGTGGAGTTAGTTTGAGATCCTTAATCACACTACCAAGGTCTGAGGATCATTCCAACTCTTTTGTAATTTACAAAAATAAAACAAAGACAAAAGAAGATAATAAATGTAGTTTAAGCTCACAGACAAACAACCGGTGGTTGTCAAAGTGAAGTTCAAACCAATCATTGTTAGCATATTTCTCAAGTACCAAAGGCTTAGAGGCTGGAGCCTATGGCCATCACTCATTGGACTCAAAAATAAACATTGTAAAAATTATATACCTGTCTCTGTAACTGTTCCAACCTCAGCTTCTCTGCATTTGCCAATTCATATTCTCCATTCTCTAAGTGTCTCTGGTCTGGCCTCAGTCTTGAGTCCGTTGGAGGCAATTTCTCCAATAAACCAGGAGTCAATTCATTTAAGGATATTGCAAAAGGGGTAAGATTGTATCTTGTCTTAGTAACAGATTTGCCTCTTTCCCACAGCAGCACAGCTTCTGTCATTGGATCATATCCTTTTGGCTTCATGGTCAGATCTCCCAGCACATAATACATAGCTTCATCCCATTTTCCCAGCAATAAGGCCACCTTTTCTCCTGTCCTATTGTCTTGCACAAATCCATGAACCTGAAAGTATCGAGAGAAACCATCAATTTATTCTTCTTCTAATGATGGTCAATCAGAACAATGGATAATCACCTTAGGACTTGAGCTTGTCATTTGATTAATGTCAACAAGGTTTTCAAACAACTGTGAGCAACTTTGGCATGAAGCAGCGCACCAAAATTGCTTTCAGCATCATTTTACCAAAATTTTGCATGTTTTTGGCCAACTGAAACCTTTTGAACGCCAATTTTCTAATATTTTAGGGATAGAAGTAAATCAAATAACAATTTGAATCAACATATGAATTATTGTTTAGAATCGCTGTCAAGTTAAAGGTATTTAAGAACAGTGGAACTCTCAGCTAATAAGAAACAAACTGAACATGAGCTTATCTACCATAGATAGAAACTATGGTAAACTATGGGAAAATACTTGATGAAGCTTGTTTTACCAATTCATTAAGGAGCATAAAATATGACCTGATGAGGATTTCGGTCTATGATAGACTGCTCCTTGAACTTGAGCTTGCAAGAGTAATTGCCACTGCCGCTGATGCGCATGGTGCCATAGTGATCACAATAGATTTTACCAAGAATGATATTGTATATAGAAGTGGTAACTTTGCTCCACTGAAAAGTCTCTCCATCCTCAAACTGCAAGGTTAGAATACCAACAGGATCAAGTTGAATGGATCGTCCCCAAAATTTTCCTTTGAGATTGGAGTCTGCCCAGAATTTCCATCCTTTACCCTCACAATGACAAGCAACAATCATTGGATGGTGACTCACCTGAATGCAAGAGCTTGTCAAACCAATTTTTAGATCAAATGTGTCATATATGACTACTCCTGACCTACTTCAACAACAATGAGCTAATGGAAAGGCCTTTTGTTTATCTTTCCATCAGAGTTTTACCATTAATTCAGTCATGAACCAGTTAGTCCAACATACTGTTAGAGCTTAGGTGTGAATAACAGTGCACCTTTTCAGAGAAAAAACGAAGTCCTTTATCTGGATAGTTAGCCTCATAGGTCTCCCCAAGAAGAGGATTGAAAGGTTTGCACTGTCGACCTTCTGTTGATGCATAGCCAGATACAGCAAAGGCCGCAACATTTAGAATTCTCATCAATTCATTTCCCTGCACCATGTCAACAATCACTGACAATCAACTATAATGTAAATAAACTCATTAAAAAGCTGTTATGAATTCCTTATGCCTAGAAGCTAAGAAGAAAACTTAAGCACCGTGGCAACATTTAGACATGTAGAAGCAAAACACAAAAAACACGACTTAATGACATGATAAACTGTAGTTGAATTAGAATTCTGCAGCCAAAATATTAAATTATGAAAGAATGCAACAACTTGGAAAGAAATGCATCACAAAAATGGTCTTTTATGGGAATTCCTTAGATATTATATAGAATTGAGAGACCACATATGTTAGTTAAAATGCTAGTGAAGCTAGGTAATGTAGTCTCCCTGGCGCAAAACCTCTCTTTTCTAAGGCATTGAATCCAACTAATCAAGCAAAAGATCACATGTAGTAGAAAATGTCAGGAAGCAATGGTAGTGAAGACATGCAGAAAGACATTTGAGAAAAACGGTGGCAGCTGCAAGTTACTTTTTATCCTTTTTTATGATATTTCTTTTCCAAACTAATTATTTTAATTAACAATTTTGTTTGTTGGGAGAGAACAATAATGCATAATGTAGAACAAAACAACAGGCATCTCCCAAAGAAAGTTCAGATTATTCATGCATGATCCTACTTAGAAAAAGTATTGATCAAGCATATGCATAAAAACAACAGGATAGGTAGTTCAGTGTGGTAAATTGATTTGCTTTGGTCCATTTACAGTTTTAGCCTTTTAAAATAATATCTTGACATTCATTCAAGATTCCAGCCCTAAAAGCCTTAGAGAGACTAAGCAATGTTAATAATTCACCCTATGTTTGGATTGAGGGGAAGGGAAGGAAAGGAAAATAAAGGAAAGTAATGGAAACAGAAAAACCCTTCCTTTATTTGAATAAACTTTTAATTTAATGCTATGTTTGGATAAATATTAATAAAGGAAAGGAAAGAAAAGGAAAGGAAAAGAAAGTTTTTTAAAGGAAAGGAATGAATACATATATCTCTTGTTTGGATAATTAAAATTAATAAAGGAAAGAAAAGGAAAGGATTTCTAGCAACCACTATTTGGATAAAAAGTGAAAAAGAAAGGTAATTATTCATTGTAATAATTTTTTCCAATTATAACCTTTCATTGTCTGTGATTTTAAAGCACTCTTGGACCATGATATGTTTGCTATCTTGTCTGGCCTCACAATTGCTGTTATATCAATGGTTTTTAATCAAGTGAAACAGGAAGATGTTTTACAGATATGCATTGATGGATTTTTTAGCTATTGCCAAAATTTCAGTACACTATCACTTTGGCGATGTATTCATATAAAAGCTATTAAATAAAAAAAAAAGCAATCACATAAAAACTCTAGTCAAAATAGTACTTTTTGACAAGAAAGTATGTATATCTTTTGATCGAAAAGCATGTATATTTTTTTATCATCTTGTTGACTAATCAAACTCAAATTATAATAGACTACATATAAAAAATAAAAAATTTTGAGCTAACCTAACATCTCATAAATCCAAAAAATATGTTTATTCATATTCAACCATTCATTAAAATCAAATCACTAAAAAATTATAAAAAAATTTTATATTGGAAAAGATATGTGAAGCTTAGTTGAAAAAAATGATAGCCTTGAAAAAATTACATGATGATTGTGATGTGGTTATGTTTTTTTTATTAAGTTTTTAGTATTAATAAAAAGATGAATATAGTAATCTTTTTATAAAAAAAAAAAAAATTAACTTTCCTTTCCCTAACTTTTCCTCCAAATTGAGGTATTAAAAAAATTAAGTTTACAAGGTAAACCAAAAGTTATTTTGGTTTCCACCTCTTTTTAAACCAAAGGTTATTTTGGTTTCAACCTCTTTTCCTTTTTTTAAATTAAAAATTTATCCAAACAAAGGGAAGGGGGTTTTGTTGCCTTTACTTTATTTTCCTTCCCCTTCCTTCAATTCAAACACACTATAAGGAAAGGAAAAAGGTGAAAACTCAATAACCTTTAGTTTCCCTCATAATTCTCATTTTTTTAATACCTAATTTGGAGGAAAAGCTAAGGAAAGGGAAGTTGAAAAAATTTTATTTTTATAAAAAGACTATTATATGCATATTTTTATTATTACATTTGATTTAATTATATAACTAACACTTCCCACAAAATAATTTCTTTTTATGAGTATTTTATATAACATCACATTTTATAAATATTTTATAATTTTTCAAGTCTTAACAACAAAACAAGCCAAATTATTGTTAGAATAAATTAAAAGGTTGAATTAAACACAAAATTAAGAGTAGATCCATAAGTAGCTAATTTATCTTACCGTATTAAACATGCTCAATTTTGTTTAAAAAAATTTGTTTATACAAGCTAGGTAGTATAAAGATATATTTGTATATTATATGTTATTTTATAAAAAAAAGGTTATAATTGAAAAAAAATATTATAATGAATTATTTCCTTTCCTTTTCACTATTTATCCTAACAATAGTTGTTAGAATTCCTTTCCTTTCCTTTCCTTTATTAATTTTAACTCTCCAAACAAGAGGTACATGTACCCTTTCCTTTCCTTTAAAAAACGTTCCTCTCCTTTTTTTTCTTTTCTTTTCCTTTCCTTTATCTAATATATATCCAAGCGTAGCATCAGTCAGTGCTCTTTCGTATCTAACAACCAAAGCAAATTCAGGGGCATTCTTCAACTTGCTTGCTTTACAATGGCCGACTACATTTAAAAAGTAGGATTGACCAGATCTCATAGACCATACTCTTTTAACCGTTATAGGAGCTTGAGAAGGATTTTTAATGCCTTGTATTTTTTTTCCCAATGTTTGGTCAATCTACTTTACCCCAGAAAAAAGGTTTGAAGGAAGGTTAGCATGCTTGTCCATGGAAACAGTTCCAAAAACAGGTAACATAGAGAGCTCCAAGCCCAAAGAGAATAGAGGGTGGGATTCATGTTTATTGCAGAGCAAAAAGTGGTTGAGAAAGCATCTTTGCATAAATAAAGTAGCACATACAAATAAAAACAACCCCCATAAGCAGTGGAAGGTTGCCCCCTCCTAAAGAGTGATGAAAGTATTCAAATCCTAATATATTTCAAAGCAGCAACCAAGGATGGGAAAATCAAGCTTCAAAACTAATGCTCAGTGTTATTTATACAGCAAGTTTCCAACAAACACATCCCAGAGAAAAAGAGTTAAAAAGCAAATGGTGGTGCATATACAGATATCTTGTGACATAAGAGATAACTAACAGGAAAAAAAGGATCTTTCCATTATTACATTCCTTCTTTCTTCCTCTTTCTCCAATGTTTTCTTGTTTATTTATTTATTTATTTAGGTTAGAGGAGAAACACATATCTAAGAGTTGATGATACATAACAACTAGCAAAGTTTGCTAGACAACTGTTAATGATAAAGGAGTCAAAAAACCAAGAAAACTACATGCCTAAAAGGTGTATTGGCAACTTCTAATATGCTAATCTACATAAGGTCAGTACATAATCTACCTGGATTAAAAGGACACTAGCGGATCATGCTTTAAAACTTCTTGCCCACAAAAGAAAACAGAGCTAAGGACCTGACCTGCTTTCCGCATTCCATGGCTCGATCAACCAAGTATGAATACTCCAAATCCTCAAAGCATTTCTGCAGTGAAGAGAGTGGCTCATTAAAATACACAGGAAGACAGACCCCAGATAAATCCTTTCCGATATTGTCCTTGATAATAGACCACAAGCCAACTGGCTTCTCTTTCTCCTTTGGTTCTGGCAGGTTATCCCTCCTTTTGACATAAGGATATTTAATGATCTGAATTTCCTTTTCAGACCCACACAAGCGATCAGAAAAGAAAGCATCTTTATCATATAAACAGCCATTTCCAGTTTCCCTACATCGGTAGGAAGCACTTCTTAAAGCTTCTGAAGACAAAAAGTCATTTGTATCCAAATATATTCCATCATCTTCATCAGTTTCAATATCTGCAGCATCTTGACTTTCATTATCCGCATCAGAATCAGTTGCACTACCCTCTGACATGACAGAGTAGAAATCTGAAACATGAAGAAGGCAAGACAGTTGTTAAACTTCAAAATCTATAGAACGCTAGGTAATGCAAAGAATCTTGTCAGGAAAATTTTTCCTAATAACAAAAGTCTCTTTCCTAGAGTAATTTAGCTAAATTCTCCTGCAGTCAAGCAAGCAATTATTTAATGGCAGGTTATAACCAACAATAACCTAAGCCTTCCAATCAAGTTTGCCCTTAAAATTAAGAAATAATAATTTTGCCCACAAATAATTCCAAAATACTTAATCAATATTACACACACCAAATCAGTTCAGGAATAAAGAGGAGTGAAGGGGGGTAAGCAAGATTAATAATTAAAAAGAAATTGTTTATTACAATTAAAAGCAAAACTCACCACTAAATCTTCTTCCTTGTCCACAATATGATTCACGTTCCTTCGTTTCATCTACTACAGTAGTTTCCAGCTCTATTTTCTCCGTCTGCAAACAAGTTAGAAGGTAGAAATTACACCTCAAAAGCAAAACTTTTATTGTGTTTACCTTTTTCATATTCAAGAAAAGATGAATATGACATTATAAGATATTATAAGACAAGTAAACAAATCTGAATATAAAATGCCAACAGAGAAAAAGGGGAAAAGGCCCTGGATATTTGAGTAAATACCACAGATATCAACATTTAAAAATAAGGGAGATGTTTGTTACTGTACAAGCCTATGGACTTCAATGACCAAACTAGAACAAAAAGAACAGAATGATATGGAAGGCTTGTAGATAGAATATCTAGTAATTTATTCATGCATAGTAACACACTAACACATGTGTCCAAATCAAATTAGGTGATTCTTCAGTTGATCTGTCAAATATCTTATTCTCAGGTCAAATACCAGGGAAGGAATCCTCTCAAGTAGTGGAAGCTTCCACTACTTTATCTAAGGGTGAATAATGCACTTCCACATAAATCTATGTTGATATTTGTTCAAACCATTTTTATAATTTTAATTAATTTTTATTTATTTAAAAACTCAAATTAAAATCATTACATATCAACCATAGATCTAATTGAAAGTGCAATCAACCTTAGATAAAGTAGTGGAAACTTTCACTACTTTTAAGTAGTGGAGAGGATCTTCTCCCAAATACCAACACCGCAATGTATGAGATTGGCAGAACACTAGATGATATCTATCAACAAGTCTCAAGCTACAAGAGTGCAGTGGATGAGAACGTAAAGAATACAGGTCCATGCTATCTCCATTCTTCAATATATTTGATTATTAAATTATACTATTCTAAAATGGTAAATGACATGTACCTCCAATTGCCGCAAAGTGTCCATTAACATAATATGTTTGCGCTGTAGAGTCTTAAGCTGATTTTGCATCTCAGAAAGTTCTAAGAGCATTATAGACTCACACTCTTTAATGACTGCCTCACCAACGCCTTCCTGTAATAACCGAGACCTTAACTTATCAGTTGAGATGACAACATCCTCAGAAGGTTGAAAATCATTACTTGACAGCAATCTAGGGAAAAGATCTTTAGCAGCCAGCAATGCATCAATCCATGCAGTTCTGTCCTCTCTTGACAAACAACGCAAATGAAGAGTCTTTGTTCCTGTGAATATGGTAAGCCTTTTATCATCTGACTTGCTTGCACGAATTGAAGAAACCTGTGCATTAGTTTCCAAACTCAGTCATCTTTCCCCAGAAATAGAATAAAATAAAATATGTTGCCAGAAACTAATTCTCTAGGAGACTATCAAAGCTTCCAGGGTGCAAGAGAAGTACCCAGCACCCAATATAAAAACAGTTACATGAATTAGAGTTTTTTTTTTTTTTTTTGGGGTGGGGGGGGACTTGAAGCTGCCAGGATTTGAACCATGACCACTAAAACTAAAAATCCAACACCGTACCAACAGGGTACACAGCCAATGGGCATTTTAATATTTTTTTATAAAAAAAAAAAAGAGATTTGAAATTGTGTAGTAGTGTTATGCTTCAGTAAAATAGGCTAGTTTCCAGTCTGATTCTCATGTGAAATGACAAGTGTACTTAGGCTATTTCTAAAGTGTTCATCCAGAGAGGAGCAACTGCTGCAAGTGAATGTCTGAAATTATGTTTGGATGATTTATTGCCACCACAATGGACAAAAGAACCGTGTAAAAGGCTAGTCTACTATATAGACTTTCTCCACATGTTAGTAATCTTAATATTAGACACCATCAAAACAGAATTTCCCAAAAACAAGTACTTCCATACATGATACATCAAAGCAAGCAACATAGAATTTTTTTAAGAATGAACCCAAAAGGAACCTTTCTATTCCCACTAATCCCCCAATATTTCACGGCCTCTCCCAGTTTCGATTCGATGGGTCCTCCCAAGTGGCTCCATAAAAAAAAATAAGACTAAAGAATTTCCTACGTAATTTAGTAGTAGTATTAAATTTCTATGCATGCAATGCAAGCATCAATAACCACGCATTTAAGATTAAGAAAAGAAGAAGCAGAAGAAGAAAGTTTATCGTCCGTATGTTTCATTTTACTTTTAAAATACCAAAAGAACCGGCCCTTTGCCGCAGCAACGAAAATAACATAAAACGCGGAACTGAAGTGAGTAATAAAAGTAAGGAAGAAAGCAAAACAACCTTCAAATGAATTTCACCAAATGGCTTGCAGTGAGTTGACGCCGAGTTAGCCCGATTGTTATTCCAGTTAGCTTTTCTCATATATCGGACAGAGTCCTCACCGATCACTCGTACGCTCTTCTCCCTCGCCGGACTCATCAAAATCTTATCAGGTCCATGAACTTTATAATACGAGAGAACTCCGTCTTCCAACGCAAACCACCGCGACCTCCATCCTTTGCCATAATTCACCCATTTGTATAGGATCCCGGCGACTCTGTGGACGGAAGTAACTTCTCCAATGATTGGGTCGTCGAATAATGCAGCCAAGGAGTGATTCGTTACCGACGGCAAGGATTTGTCGGCGTCGGCGTTGATGGAGGAAACTTGAGAAGAGAAACTTGGTTTGGAAGAGTTGTTAATGATTCTGGCGGCAGTTTCGATGCTTAGCTGGCATTGAGGACCCGATTTGGTAACCACCGGGTTGGCCCGGTCACGATCGATGGATACCGGAGCAATGCAGCACAAAGGATTCATCTGTTTTCAGCTAAAAGCAACAACCAAATCCTACATTCACAAAAACGACATCCGATCAGATTCAGATAAATTCCAGAGACAAAGAGAAGCAGCTGCAGAGCTGGAATTGGAGCTCCGATCGAGGAAGAGTCCTGCCGGATCCGAGGGAATGCGAGACCCTATCGGAGCTCGAAACGAAACGTTTTTGAAATGGCATAGAAACGGAGATTACTGAAAGGACAAAAAAAAAAAAAAAAACAGAAAGAAAGAGAGAGGGGAGGTAATGGGCGCAGTTACTAGAAGTTATGAAGAGGTGCGGTGAGCACGTAGATCCATTTAAGGCAGTGGTCAGTGATTTCAGTAGAGGAGCCAGCGAGGCCTCTATGCGTAGCTGAAGCCAAACGCCATTAAAATTAAATCCTCCCTTACGAATATAAGTAAACGCATGGGATTTGATTTCTTTTAAAAAAAGTTTTTTCAATTTTGGTGTTTTTGGGAGTAACGATGATTGTTGGGGGAGACAGCTAACGTGCGTGATTGAAGGAGGGGGAAGGGGGTGGGGAAGTGTTTGTCCGTTGAGTAATGGCCCCGTTCATCGTTGTAATGACGTATTTGTCCCTATTTTTCGCATTTATTAACCATGATTGCGATGTTTGTTAGGGGTGTTGTGGTAACCGGGTTATGAAAGCGATTAGTGAGACCGTAACAGAGCAGCAGCAATGCACTGAGACAGAGGTTTTGTATGTGACTAACCTACTCGACGGGCAATGCAACCCCTGTTGGCTCCTTTTGACTTGTTAAGAACCATAACAGGAAAAAAAAATTTGGGGTTTCATTTATTAGATTTGGTCTGTCTCTTTTACCGGGCTGAATATGGGATTTAAAAAAAAAAAAAAAAAAAACTGGTAAAACTGGAAAATCAACAACTTCATTGAAGTCTGTTTACGAGTTTATTTGGTAGAGAGAGATTTTTGCTTCATAGTTGTGTTTTATGGTTAGATTAGTAGGGGTTCAATTGTAAAATGATATTATAATAAAATAGGTAAAATAAATTAAATATTAATAAATTTTTTAATATTTAATTTATTTAATTAATAAATATTTGTTAAATTTAATAAACTAATAAAACTAAACTTATTCGTAAAGTGTTTTTTTGAAATTTTTTTCACCTACATTTTTACATTATAAACAAATTGAATATAAATAATTTTTATTGTACTCATAATTTATACATTTAATTATAAAATCTCAAAATGTTAATTATGATATCATTTATTAAATTTAATAAATAAATAAAAATTAATAAAAATTATATTTATTTACAAACTGTTTATCATTCGTTTATAACCATAAAATGAAGATCAATCATAAAATACAATAGTGACATAATAAAAATTAATCATAGTATACTACTAAATGAACCCTACGAATGTAACGGAATGGTTAGCAAAAAGTTGGCTTGGAATTGGGATTTTTCTTTAATGAGTTTCAGGCTTGACCGACGTCATGGCTACGAGTACTACTGATACTTGCCCTTCTTTTCCTAGTCATGCAACGACTCTCACACTGGATCGCTTTCAAGAAAGCAGTATCTCCAAAAATTTTCATGAATAATAATTCATTACAATTAATATTTATCAGTGACATCTAAGCTGCTTTGCAATAACTTTTTTTTTTTATTTAAATCTTTTCTTTTAAAAAACTATATATCAATTTTGAATCAACTGTTCGGATATCAACAATATTATTTGAGATTAATATTAAAAATGTAATTATATGCGTGTGTATAAAAAAATAATATTGTTGGGATTTAGGTATTGAACAAAATCATATGTTAGAATATTTGATAAATAATGTATCATCATCATGTTGAAGAACAGGGAAACCATGTAATTATGTTTCTATGCATGATAAAAGAAAAATAAACAAAATACACATGTTAAACTAATTCTTTTGAAGGTGATTAGAGACAATAGGATTGCATTACAACCATTAGTCATATGAAAATGTTAAAAGTTGAATCATTAAATTTGTTTTTATCAATAAAGTAATCATGTGAATTTAGAGCCTAATTTAATTATTTTATGCAATAACTTTTAAGAAATTGTATCGGTCAGTTTAAGATTTAAATTTAATATTTATAATATTTTCTTATATTTTTAGGATGTAATTTCCTTTAAAAAACTAATAATAATAAAGTGATCATTTATTCACTTCTCTTATTCTTATCAAATTAACATGTACATTTACAATAAGTATTGTTACATGTAAAAACAAATAATTTGAGAATTTAAATGTGATACTTAAGGATCAACACTATTACCCCAACCCTATAAGAAAAATATTTTTCAAACCCAACTCCAATGAATTGATATGGTAGGTACTTGGAAAACTCTATACCTTTGATTATGAAAAAAAAAATCAAATAATGATGAAAGTCTTAAAATTTTCAAAAAATGTTAAATGATTATTATATTTCGTTTTAGTAATTAAGCTTTTTTTTGTTAGTTTTCATAAATATACTTAATAAACTTAATCTCATTTATAGAATTCAAAAATTACACTATAGATTAGATATGTACATGTGCGTAAACTTGACAACCCACTAACCTGACTCAAGTTTATATATTGAATAAGAATTTTCAAATTCAATTCTAATTTGATTAGGTTTGAGATATTATTTAATTAATAATTTTTTATTTAATTTAAAAATACATATAAAACATTAACATACAAATAAAAAATATTTTTTAATTTTTAATATATCTTTAAATAATGTTGAGTCTTATTGAATTTTGGACAAAATTTTCAAAAAATCAATCGAGCTTAATTAGGCTTATCACTCATGCGATAAACACTTTTACGATAAATGTATAATATAAATTTTCATTAAAAAAAATTAACTTGACTCAAAAATCATAAATTCAAAAAGAAAATTTTTTTGGAACAAATTAGTAAGAATGGTTTTTTTTTTTTTTTTATGAGAAGAAATACCTCTAATTTGCATTTGGCCTCAATCCCTTAATTGTTGTGGTTGAGCTATGTTTGTCATAGTAAATCCGGGATGGTCCTTTGTTGCCTTTGGACATAAATCCTACAACCAACCAATAGGCAAACACAATTCAAGCTTGTCTACAAAAACTATACATGGGGCATATTCACAATCACATCAAAAGGAATGACTTGTTAAAGAAAGACAATGCTATTTTTCTTTTAATTTTCCAAAGGATAAAGCATAAAGCCATCCCATTTACCAACAAAAACTCATTTTAGTTTTACCAAAGATTAACGACTAAGGAAAAAAGAATACTAATGATTGAGTAAGTGACAAAGGAATGTAACATAATTTTGCTACTTATTATTGGGATAATTCAAGCATCCAACTATCATCTTCATCATAGTCATAAATTCATAATGTTAAATTGTTAATTACGTTAGGAGAAAGAAAAAATAAAGATTAGGTCTGGTTACTTGAGATGGGAACATTTAATTTAGGCCTCCAAAGCGTTTTTAATATTAAAAAATATTTAATAAATATAATATTTAAATTTCAATAATTATATTTTTAAATTTATTTTCATACTAAGACTCTTTTTATAAATACAATAAATATTTACTCAAAATTTAATTTAATCGATTCATACTATTATTTAAAATAATTTATATATAATAGATTTAATTTAAATTATAACACTTATAATTATTTTTATTATTTTTAAACTATAATCTAATATATATTATATTACAACATACAAATTACATTATCAAAATTATTTATGTGAATGTTTAGGTGGATAATCTCTTTTAGTGACACATAAAATAATATTTATATTATTTTATTTATCAAATAAAAATTTTTAATAAATTATTTAAATTAAATATTTTGGATAATTATTTAAATTGAAATCAAAATCTATTTAAGATTGAAATTTTTGCATAGGATTTGAATTCGAATATATTAAATTATAATTTATCTTTTTCTTTTTAAATTTAATGACAATTTCAAATATATATACTTAATAAAATTTTATTTTTTGTCAAATAATTCTATTTAATAAATTATTTAAATTTAATATTTTTAGATAATTATTTAAATTCAAATCAAAATTTATCAAAAATTAAAAATTATTTAATAAATTATTTAAATTTAATACTTTTAAATAAGTTAATGAATTATTGACTAGAAAAACATGTATTTTTAAAGTAACGAAAGTTTATATCTTTATATGAAAATATGAGATATTTGAATATTGATAAAAGAAGTTAGATAAAAATATGTTTTTACTTTGAAAACAAATATAATGTTTTATTTATGTTCTAATTCAAATATTTTTATAGTATATATTTAGTTAATTTATTTGTTTCTCATTAATCCATAACTTTTTTTTAATTTTGCTTGGATTGATTATAATTAACTTTTTGTATTATATATATTTTTTTGTTTTATTCATTTCTTAAATGTTTTAATTTTTTGTTAATTTATTAACATATTTACTTTTATTATTGTATATATTTAATATTGACAAATTAATATGTAAATTTATATTTTCTATTTCCTTTTGTTATATTTTTATTATTGAATTTCTTTATCTAAAATGGATGATACGAGAAAAATGATAATCAGTATCATATCTAACTCACAAAAAATACTATTAATTATGTTAAAAATGATTAAAAATAAAAAAAATATTTCAAAATTTTTTTTAAAACATAATATAAAGAATTATTGTTTCTCTTTTATCTAAAAAATAATTTTATTTTGTTGACATATATAAAAATAATTGTTAATCAAATATATTTATGTAATAATTACTCGAAGTATGTAGAAAATAGGAACTAATAAAAAGCAAATGATTATAACAAAATTAATAATTGTGATTTGTTGTTCAATCAAATATATATATACCACCCAATCAACATTATGATAAAAATAATTATTAATTTTAACTATTTAAATATTGATTCTTAATTTTTTATCAAACAAAAAAAAGTGATAGCAAAATTTTTAGTATTTAACAAATAAATTAAAAAAATATTTTTTAAAGAAAAAATGATTTTTACACTTTTTGAAAATTTACAAAAGTTTAAAATTTTTTTAGATGAACAATATCATTTATAATATATTATGTATAAATTATCATTTAATTATAATTTAGTATTTATAAACATATAATTATATATTAGATAAATAATTAAAAAATTAATTTAAAATTATGAAAAATTTAATAAAAATTCCGTATATTGTAGGGATTAAAAAAGTTAGTTTTTTTATATAAACAATAATGATTACGTATCCTATTGGAACTTGTCACCGAACACGGTCTAAATTTTTTATCATAAATAAAATTCATCAAAATACAACCATTAAATGTAAGGGGCTAAAGAAAAAAAACGATGGGAAAAGTCCAATGTTATTTTTTTTTAAAAAAAAAGGGGAACCAAGCACCAAATGGTTTGCAACCCACATGAGGCAAGGTGGCCAAACACGTGGCACGTGTTTTAGTTGAGTTAACCTGCAGCTGAGCAAAGTGCGACGATGAGATTGAGATTATTATATTTGCTTGCCTTAGCTTCCATCTCATTTTCCTTATTATATTTTTAGAGGGAAAAAATAAATGAGGAGTTGCATTATTTAGCTTTGGATTCTTCCTATTTCTCAAAACCAATTTATATTAATGTTTTATCAGAAAATGATAGCAAGATTGTCGACGGCAAAATGATAGGATAGAATCATAGGCGTTCACAACATTTCACTTCTTTATTTTATTATTTTATTTTAATAACTAAAAAACAAAAAGGACAAAAGCAAAACTAGTACAATTATAGAGTATCATCAAAGGGTAAAAGATATAATGCTGAAAAAGCAAGTTTATGTGGCGGTGGAGTGTGGTGGCCTCCGATTTTTCAATACTACTTTAAAAAGTTGAACGTATTTATTGATAGAGTAATAAATTTTTAATTTTAAAATTTTAAAATAATTTTAAATATAAAAAATTTGAATTTTTATAGTATTTTTTTTTCATTTGTCTACTTCATGGTTTTTGCATTTTTTATTATTTTGAGTTATATAAATGTTATAATCCTGATTTGCATTTGGCAAATTTTATGGGGGAAGGAAGATTTCAAAATTTTCTTTTCATTTCATTTCGTAAGGAAAGTTTGTCAATTGTGCAGAATTTGATAAATTAAATTATTTCTTTTTTTTTTTGAAAAAGAAAGGAAAAATAAAGTTATAGGACATTTTTATGAATAGAAATATAGGATACTTGCAAAATTATGAAGAAAAATAAAATAATAATTATTCTTGCGATTTGAATTTGAAAATATCTAGAGATATTAATATTAATATTAATTGATATATTATATTTTTCAGTAAAAAATTATTATAATAAAAATTAATTATTGTGATTTACCATGGTCGGATATTGTAATTACTTTGATGAGATTGATCCCTCATGGTTTCAGTTTTAAGTGGAGTGATGGCTTATTTTGTCTGATTTTCGATTTTCTAAACTAATGAATCTAAGTAATAATTTTGTTAACATTATTTCTTTTGGGTAATCAAACATTTTACTCTTTTTTAGCTAAATGTTATCATTTGGAGATAACATAATGTTTAGACAATCTATTTTGCTTTTTTTTTTTTTAAATTTAAAATTATTAAAATTTGAATTTTTATAATTAAAATTAAGAGTTTTTAATTTTACTAATAAATTATACAACTGTTAATAATTAATGATGTTCCTAGATTAGATCAAACTAGACTAAACTTAATAAGCCTTTCAAAAGCTTTGCCCAAGATTTTATCCATCAAGTTTAGGATGCTCGAATTTTTTTCAAATATTTTAATATATAAATAATTATATTTTTAAAATTAAAAATAAAAATAAATTTAAAATAAAATGATATCTCAAACTAAAGCTAACCAAGGTCAGACTCAAAAATTGTTGTTCCAAATTTGATCCTATTGATAATGTTTAGACAATCTAGTTATTCATATACAAAACAATTTAAAAATCTACATTTTATAAATAATAATATTAGACATAGGTTAGAATGATATTTATAAAATATGTAATTTATATAGTACTATTTTTTAATTTAATAAAAATATTATAAGCCTTGTCAGTCAGTCCAGTATTGATTAAAATTTAAAGAAAACTCACAAATTTTGTTAAACTGAAGCGGAATGATGCACTGAAACTGCGAAGAAGACTGTCATTGTTAAACTGGAAAATTTCACATGGCCCATAGTCATAGATCACTAGATCATTCACAGCATTATCAGGCACACTAGGTCCTACGATGAAAACCAAAAGTTCGCACATCACTACTACACATCTCGGAAACTCACATCATTCGTAGATCTTAGGAGTCAGGACCCTTCGATTCCTTCTGCTTTTCAAAATTTTTTCTTTTCCCCAGTATAACCGTGTCACCCAATTATTACCTCCTCCCCACATTACTTTTTCAATCCCAACAAAACGAGGGTCCCAAATTTCTCCAATAAAAAAATCAAGCGGTCCAGAATCACCCATAATAATAAAAATTAAAATCAAGAAAAATGGTGGCACTGGTGGTCAAAATTTGACGAAGCCGTACCTCTCCAAGCTTAAAAGGGAGAAAGGAACAAAAAAGAAAATAATAATAATAATAAAAAAACAAAGTACACGAAAGGTAAGTTGTTGTGGTGTTTTTCTGTAGTTTGATTGCTAAGAAAAGTATCGATCGAGATAGAAAAAATAAGAGGGAATTTGGATTTTGATGATAAAGTTGATGGGCATGGAGTTTTGAAATGGGTAGCATGATTGGATCATTGAGTTTCCATATCGCCAACGACTGCTATTCTTTGAAGAAGCTAATACCGTTGAAACGTCGCTGCTTTCGGTTGGGATCAAAGTTTGTTGTTGATATCGAGTCAATACCATCGGAGGAGTTCGCTTCTCCTTATTTGCGCTTCTTCAAGCGCGCTTCATGACCATGATCCCTTGCCCCCGATTTTCTCTTGGATCTCGCTCGCAGATCCACCGCCACCGCTACCACAACCAAAAACAACTTCCTAGCTTCCGTTTCTCTTCCTTATGGACCCCACTTCTCGCCCCGCTGTCGTCATCGATAACGGCACTGGGTACGGTTTATAACTGAATATTACTCTAAATTGCCTTCTCACAATCTGTTTGATGAAATTCCCCAGTTATATTTCATTTCCGACGATCTCTTTTTTGTTATTATTGAATTGATCCTTTTATTTTTTGCAGGTATACTAAGATGGGATTCGCGGGTAATGTAGAGCCGTGTTTTATTGAACCAACAGTAGTAGCAGTTAACGAGTCGTTTCTAAATCAATCTAGAACTTCTTCAAAATCAAATTGGTTAGCTCAGTATTCAGCTGGGGTAATGGCAGATCTTGATTTCTTCATTGGAGATGAAGCATTTGCGAGATCGCGGTCAAGTAATACTTACAACCTTACCTATCCTATTAGGCATGGTCAAGTGGATAATTGGGATGCTATGGAACGGTATTGGCAGCAATGTATATTCAATTATTTACGGTGTGATCCTGAGGATCATTACTTTTTGTTGACCGAGAGTCCCCTTACTGCTCCTGAGAATCGAGAATATACGGGTGAAATTATGTTTGAGACGTTTAATGTTCCGGGGCTTTATATTGCTGTGAATTCTGTCCTTGCTTTAGCAGCTGGGTACACTACGTCAAAGGTTGGTGACTAATTTTCTATAGTATTCTGTTGTTTTCTGGTTTTCTGTGTCTTGGTTAGTTATTTACTGCGGTCCTTGATTCTCCGTGATTGTTAGTATTATTTATATGTGTGAAATTGAATCATGAGTGCGAATGTTGGTTCTAGGATGGTTACGTATTCAGCAGTCAACTAACAATTTATTTAATCCATTTAGTGATTGAAAAAAAAATTGTAATATTGATTATTAGATTATCACTGTCCCGTAAAAAGTATGAACTGCTTTTTTCTTAATCTAATGTGTTAAATTCTCTACTCTGTTGGTGTAATTTTATAATAAATGATGTTTTGTAGCAAATGCTTACAGATTTATCTAAATTTATCCAGTCTTTACATTGAAAATACATTTAGCTTGGAGGAGGTTGTTATGAGCTTAAAAGTCTTTGCCAACTTCCTCAAATATTTCTACTTCTGTATTCTTTACATGTAAATGACTTAATGCACATTATGCCTACCATATACTGTTTTAATTTGTTAAAAATTTGTTTATTCATTTTATCTTTAATTATCTGAGAGAATTATGATGAAGGCTTATGCCTGTTGCTAATCATATGGGCATAAGATATGGATTATGTTGAATGCTTAATGGTTATAGAATTTAAAGAACCGCACTTAGCTTTATACCCTGCATTATGTGCATTGTTTTCTTGCTAATCATCCTTGTATATTGATCACTTTCATTTAGATTGACCTACAATTTTCTATAGTGTGAGATGACAGGGGTGGTAGTGGATGTTGGAGATGGAGCTACACATGTTGTACCTGTTGCAGACGGTTATGTTATTGGGAGCAGCATTAAATCAATACCAATAGCTGGAAAAGATGTAACTCTCTTCATACAGCAGCTCATGCGGGTATTTTTCTTTTCATGACTCTCTAGTGCTTTGATATCATTGGATTGATATTTATTCAATTTTCAAGTACTTAAGGTTATTATTATGTCATGATGAGAAGATTATCTACACTCTTTGACGTTACACAGCGCTATCAATGGTTGGATTTATATACTTATGCACTTTTCTTTTATATGCTGTGCTTTCAAACACTCAGTTGCAGTTTGTGACAGTATCATGCATTCTTCCAATTGTTATTTGGGCTGTGTTGTATCCTCTTTGAGGAGACTCAATGTCATTATATATGTGTAGTTTATTGTTTTGAATTTTGTTGCCATTTGAAAGAATGCTAGTTTTAATTTGAGAAAAGTGCTGTTTTCTGGAGGCAAGCTAAATTAAAGTGTTTTTGTCCTTTTTTTTTTTTTTTTAACTTCTGGAGCTTTTACGTCATATTATCATTGTGTTCATGGAATCCGTTCACCGAGATGGCTTTGCTTGCAAAGGTTCACAAATACTGGACTTAGATATTGACTCTTCTAATAGATATTATTATTGGATATTGACTCTTCTAATAGTTGTTATTATGTGTGTGTGTGTGTGTCATAGATTTGTGGATATGGAGATTGTAAAATAATTAGTATTCTGTAATCATGGATTCTTGCCTTTTGACACTGTTATTTGCAGGAAAGAGGAGAGAAAATTCCACCGGAGGACTCATTTGAAGCAGCTCGGAAAGTGAAGGAGATGTTCTGCTATACTTGTTCTGATATTGTCAAGGTTATTTTGCTTTTATTGGATTGTGATTTTGGAAATATTTTGGCCCAACCTTTCACCTCATGGTTCTTAACCAGCATGAGATAATGAAGTTCACAAGTTCTGACATTCTAATGGTAATTTGATAATAAGTTAATAACTATTTATTTGGGTAATTATCTCAGGAGTTCAACAAGCATGACAAAGAACCTGCAAAGTACATTAAACAATGGAGAGGTATTAGACCAAAGACAGGGGCACCATACTCCTGTGATATTGGTTATGAACGATTTTTAGGCCCTGAGGTTTGTCCTCTTTTTCTTGCAAACTCATTCCTAAAGTTTAAGATTACTGGAATTTTTGGCATTTCTTCATATTTATTAAGTTTTTTTTTTTCCCAGGGGTGGGGGGAGGGGTTGGGGTTAGTCTATTATGACTAATGCTAGAGTAACATGTTTTTTATGGAGAAATTTAAGAATCATATTAACTAACTCTTTCAAATGGCTAGTCTCTTGGCTGCACAATGAAGATTTTTCCCTTTCATTAATACATATATCAATCTCATAACATTCAAGCAATGGTTTTCATGTTCATCAGGATCTAAGTACAAAGATGTTTGATCTTTTCCTTAATGTCAATAATCAAGCTATGCTCGCTCTAGAGGCTTGGTTCCCTTGCAGCTACCATTCGTGTCAACTCTTTATTTGTCAAAAAGCACATTCCTTCTACCCTTTTTCTGATCCACTTATCCTAAAAAATCTCCCTTTAATATGAGAGAATATAGAGTATGCTCTATCTGTGCTCTTGCCAACAAAATATATTTTCTTGATTAATTAAAGTCAACTTGCTTTGACAGAAACATAGTTGTAGCATATGGAGCTGGGTATGTAAGTTTTTCTTGATTTGCCTCTGCTGTTTACATTTCTTAATGGCATGCTTTGGCATTTTCCTACTTTGGTGATGCAACTAGGTAGTTGATGATACACTTTGTTCTCCAAGAAATGGAACATTGCTTAGCTTTACTGCTTATAAATTGCTTCTCGAAGATTGCTTGTTGCTGATGTTTTTCTAATGTTTGGTTTGACAGGTTTTCTTTAGTCCTGAGATCTATAGCAGTGATTTTACAACTCCTTTACCAGCTGTAATAGATAGGTGCATTCAGTCAGCACCAATTGACACAAGAAGAGCTTTGTATAAGGTGAACTATTAATAGGCTCAAAAGAAAAAGAAAAGCAGTTTGCACAATTTGGTTCTTAGCCAAGATGAATCTAAATGAAACAACAAGAAAGTATTATATTTGAAGGTTGAGATGCACTGATTAAGGATTGAAGTGGTACTCATGCACTTTGCTTCTTGATGGGTTCTTAGCTCAACTGTCAATTTTTAGTTTAATTTTCAAGGATGAAATTCTTGGAAATGTGGGTTGTTTTAGTTTAATCTCTTGCATCGTTGTCTCTTCGGGACTCATGAGTTGATTAGAAATTGTTTTCTCAAACCTGGTCTGGTACTGAAAGTCATATCTGTTTGATTCCTATTATTTTACCACAAAAAAGTTCTCAGCCTAGTTGCAAGATATTGGTACTTGGCTGTGCGGATTGTTGGTTACATTCTTGATAATGACCAAAATTCAAATGAAGCTTGCAGTTAAATTCATAGGCTAATGAATGAATTGAGAAGAGAAAAAGGAAATTTTAACATCATATTTTGATATAAGAACTTTTTAAACTCTTTACTCACTATTTTAACTCTTTCAGAATATAGTGTTATCTGGTGGATCAACCATGTTCAAAGATTTCCACAGAAGGTTGCAGCGAGATCTGAAAAAGATTGTGGATGCCCGAGTTCTTGCATCTGATGCACGGCATGGTGGGGAAATAAAAGTAAGGATTATCGTGCTTAACTTGTGTTTTCATCCCATTAAAATTTTGCAAAAGCTCAGTACTAATCTCCTTTTGGGCTTCACCTTCCAGGCACAACCTGTGGAAGTTAATGTTGTCAGTCATCCTATCCAAAGATTTGCAGTTTGGTTTGGAGGTTCTGTACTTGCATCAACACCTGAATTTTTTGCGGTATGAATCCCTACTTCCAAAACTCATCTTCCACCCTTGTTTCTATACAGGCCGCTGAATGGCATTGAATTTTTACACTTGTTCTTGCTTTGGTTGATATGTTAATTGTCTGCGGTGCATCAATCTTAAACAAAATACTAAAATTTGGATTTTGCTGTAAGTCTCCTGACCTCCTCCATGTGCAGGCATGTCATACAAAAGCAGAATATGAGGAATATGGAGCAAGCATTTGCCGCACAAATCCTGTTTTTAAGGGGATGTATTGAGGCAAATAACTATTTTTCAGCTGATTATCGAAAAATCATTATACTAAGATGCTCAAGTGGGTGACTTGCTATTTCCACTTCCATCATGCACATCAGTTTACTTCCGATGTTCCTGCTTTGATTGGTGCTCATGTGTATTGGTTGTAAGAGGTGGGTAAAGCATGGTTGCCACTAGCCAGTCTCAATTGCCATGGTCAAAAAAGGAAAGTTCTTACATTCATTCTTTAATTAGGAGTGGTGCTCACAGCAGCCTATAGAATGCAGTCAGCAGGCCCTGCCAACACTTAAGAATCAGATGGAGTATCAAATAGTTGGAAAAAAAATCAGCTGAGCTTAATTGCATTTTTAGTGTTCAGTTTACTTAGGATGTGATAGAGATTTGACAAAAAAAAAAAATTTCTCATCTTGGGAGTAGGGTGGTTGGTTGTGTTTTGAAGGTAGCCGCAGCAAACACAGTGGTGATTCTGTGCCTTTGTTCCACCAGTACATTTTCTGTTAGAAAGCAAGATTGGAGTACTAATTTTGAGTTAGAAATTTGTTTTTTTTTTTTGTGACATTTTATAATTGGTATTAGTCTTTTGTGTACCATTGATGAAAAGCTAGCTAAGTTTCAAATATGGGTTAGTTGTAATTTGAGTAGCAGTGTGCACAATAGGTACATTTTACAATGATTACGATTTTTTTCTATGGGATTTATTCTTTCGTTATTTTTCCAAGTTCAATTTTCCAATTTACAGGCTTTCTGGCATGCTATGGCATATAATATATATATATATATATATATATATATTGGAAAGTAAGTACCGAGTGTTGTTGCTTGCTTTAACTATACTGCTATACGGTGGGATTGTAGCCTGGAGTAGCATGATTCAGTTGACACACAGGAAGCATGTTTTGTATTTTTGATCTCTTCAGTCTTCACAACACTTTCTAGTGGCTGTTGGGGAGTCTCCAGGAGAAAAGTGGCATGACCGTTTGGCTGAGTGAAATTTGCCACATGCATTCAATCGAGATTACCTGGGACCAAAAGGGAAAAAGGTGCTGGTGGTCGTTTGCCTAAGTTTTAAGGAGTTTCACGAGGAAGGACAGTGTCTCTCTAAACGATGATTACAAGTTTCTGTCTCTCTGAACTATCAGTTCTCATGTGACTTTTTTGTACACATTTTCCTTTATGATGCCAAATATTGGTCCTCACCTGGTCAACCAATAGTGATCTTTGCTCCAAGGCTTCAATAAAAGGTATGATTAATTGGATCTAATCTCCACATTTTTATCTAACAGGAGGAAATTGTTGCCCTTTTTTTTTCCTGAAAACCGTGCGCTTTGGGACTGAAAACTAATTCAAACGATACCCTTTAAGAAAACCCAGGTTTTCTGGTCTATTTGCTTCATAACAGGAAAACTCTGTTCAACTAGGAATAAAAATATTCCCAAAAGAGATAAAAAAAAAACTAACTATCAATTTCTTTCTTTTAGGTTAGAATCGTCAAATATGATATTTTTCATATAACTATATAAATAATTAGTTATTATATTAGAATCAAATTATAATTACTGAATAACCAAATAAAAAAAATAAGTTACAGTCTAAAAAGATTTAAGATGATTAGTAAAAGCAGGGACCAGCAAATTTGTCAACCCAGAACACTAGTTTACTATTGCATTTTGCATATCCAAAAAAAAAAAAAAAATTAACACTTAATTAAACGAGATCCTCTTACTAGTCCTAGTACTTGTCGTAATAAGAAAGTAGAGAGATCAGAGAAAAAAAATGGTAAACCCATCTTTCGTGTTTGTCTTACTCTGACCCAGGTCCCAGGGTAGCTGCAGAATCAAACACATAGCAGGAGGGAAGAAAGAGTAAGATTAATAAAACATTTAAACCATAATAATATTAATAAATCTAAGCTCTCATACTCTGATTTTTCATTCCTTATTCTATGATCTTGCTTTCTTCTGCTAGTGTTTCTAGACTCAGGATTTCTTTGTTTCTCTCTTGCTTCAGTGTTCCATACTCGATTGCTACTGGTGGGGCTTCTTAATTTTTCCCTCCCCTTTTCTAATTTTATTTGTATTTGTTTCCCGTTTTGGTTTCCTATCATGGTTGGTTCCTTTGGCTTCGAGAACTGGGTAATTGAAAATTATCTGTTTTATGACATTTTACGGCTTGGGTGTTTGGGTTTTTTTTCCTCGGGATTTATCAAGTTGGTGTTTTGATGTACTTCCTACTTACTCTTTGGTTTTTATAATTTGATGAAGTAGGTAGGGCTTGTCTATGGATATTTTGATAAAATATGTTGGTAAAGTTTCAAGCATTGATGCCTTTTCTATCATCTTTGTTATGGGAATTTTAATTCTTTGTTTTGATATCTGGCTGCTAGATCTCTCTCTATTTCGCATCTCTGAGCTGTTTTTATTTGCTACGAATTCAATTACATTGATTTCCCTGTTTTCCATATGGTTAAGATCTATGGTTAGTGTGAATATGCTACTAAAATTATCCTTACTTAGAGTTTGCATGTTTTGCCCTTTCGTTACATTTGTACTGGAATGCTTGCATTCTCCACGTAATTCCACTAGATTTACAGTTATTTTTTTCTTTACGGTGCCTTTAGTTTCATACGGCTGGAGTTAGGAATAACTTTTTCTCTTTTGATGGGTATTAGTTGGGCTATATGGCTGAAGAACAAATAGATTTCGGAGATGAGGAGTTTGGAGGGGCACAAAAGACACAGTATCAGGGAAGTGGAGCCATACCTGCTCTTGCAGATGAAGAGATGATTGGGGAGGATGATGAATATGATGATCTCTACAATGATGTTAATGTTGGGGAAGGTTTACTTCAGTTGCAACAATCTGAGGCACCACCGCAGCCTGGTAGCATGGGGAATACTGGACTTCAAGCTCAGAAAGAAGAGGCTACTGAGCCGAGAGGTGAAGCTGGGGGTTCAAAAGGGCTAAACATCCCTGGAATTTCATTTCAAGGGAAGTACCCCAATGTTACTGCCCGTTATCCTGAGCAGGAGGCGCACCCAGCTGTTAACAGATCAGAAATAGAATCTGAGAGTTATCCATCTGGATCTACTATTTCACAGAAGGGCAGTGTTATGGAGGTGACCCGTGATACCCAAGTAAAAAATTTTCATGGATTAACTTCAACATCCCAGAAGATTGGGATTGATCCTTCTGTCGTGCGTCAAAAGATTGCCAATGACCCTGCTCAATCTCTAAATTCAGGTATTGGTGGTCCTCAAGGTGCTTCACAGGTTCCACCTAATCAAATGGGTATGAATGTCAATCATCCTATGATGAACGAAAATCAGGTTCAGCCACCTATAGATAATGGTCCAACCATGCTTTTTGTTGGAGAATTACATTGGTGGACGACTGATGCAGAGCTTGAGAGCGTTTTATCTCAATATGGAAGGGTGAAGGAGATTAAGTTCTTTGATGAGAGAGCTAGTGGTAAATCCAAAGGGTATTGTCAGGTTGAGTTCTATGATTCAGCATCTGCAACTGCATGCAAAGAGGGAATGAATGGTTATATATTCAATGGGCGAGCTTGTGTTGTGGCTTTTGCTTCACCACAGACATTGAAGCAGATGGGAGCTTCTTATATGAACAAAAACCAGGGCCAGCCTCAAGCACAGCCTCAAGGAAGGAGGCCAAATGATGGTTTTGGGAGAGGTGGTAATATGAATTTCCAAAGTGGGGATGCAGGAAGGAACAATGGAAGGGGCGGCTGGGCACGGGGCGGTCAAGGAGTAGTCAACCGAGGTGGAGGACCAATGAGAGGAAGGGGAGGTGTAGGTGTAAGGAACATGGTTGCGAGCTCTGCTGGAGTTGGAAATGGTGCTAATGGTGCAGGGGCCTATGGACAAGGACTTGTAGGCCATGCATTTGGTGGTCCTGCTGGTGGCATGATGCCTCCACAGGGCATGATGGGTGTAGGGTTTGATCCAACATATATGGGTCGAGGAGGTGGTTATGGAGGTTTTCCAGGACCTAGTTTTCCTGGCATGCTTCCTTCATTTCCAGCTATTAATACAATGGGACTTGCTAGTGTAGCTCCTCATGTCAATCCTGCTTTCTTTGGCCGTGGAATGGCACCTAATGGTATGGGAATGATGGGCTCATCTGGAATGGATGGACCTCATGCAGGAATGTGGACTGACACAAGCATGGGTGGGTGGGGAGGAGATGAACATGGTCGCAGGACTAGAGAGTCTAGTTATGGCGGTGAAGATGGTGCTTCAGAGTATGGGTACGGGGATGTGAATAATGAAAAAGGAAGGTCAAGCGGTGCCTCTCGGGAAAAAGAGCAGGTTTCTGAGCGTGAGTGGTCAGGCAACTCTGATAGGAGGCATCGTGATGAGAAGGAACGAGATTGGGACAGGTCTGAAAGGGAGAATAGGGAACACCGTTATAGGGAAGAAAAAGACAGCTACAGAGAGCATCGACATCGAGAACACAACTTGGATTATGATGATGACTGGGATAGGGGACAATCTTCTTCAAGATCTCGGAGCAGGTCCCATGCAATGCCAGAAGAAGAGCGCAGGTCTCGATTGAGGGATGTGGACTATGAGAAGAAGAGACGCCTACCATCAGAGTGACAGAATAGTCTGTGCATGCTTCTTTACTGTTTCTTATGAGACCTTTAATTAAGTTTTCACTCTCAGTTTCTCTTCCCTTGGTTGCTATATTCTTTTCAGCGTTCGCTATGATGATCGTTGGTCCATATGCAGAGTGTGGCTTCTTAAGGGAAGAAGTAAGTTCTACTTGTGTGTGTGGCGGGGAAGAATAGACTCCTCTTTCCTTTCTTATTGCATTCTAAAGAACAAATATTAGCTGAAAGACTTAGCATTCGTGTGTTTGAAAACATAGTATTTTATTCGATGTGGTTATTCTTTGTGGGTTTGGAATTCTAACATCCTACAGCTGACTATCCACATTGGGTTTTTAATTATCTGCCAAACTCTATATTCAATGGAATGCTTTATTGGCTTGTGATCATGATACTTTAGAAAATCTTCTTGTTTATACGATTGTTGGAATTTATATGTTAGAAATCTTGTGGTCATATGATTGTGATCTTGGTTGATAAGAAATATTTCTATGCTATAGCTTTTTATCTTTTTGTACATCTTTTTATGGGGTTTAGAGGAAGCTTACTTGTTTTAAACCTTTAGACATTGCTAGATGATGCGTATGATGGAGTGAGAATGAAGTTCATCTCTTTTTTCACTATCTTGCTGATTCAATCATGTGTCATGATGTTCTCTGGTTCTTTCTTCCTCACTTGTTTTTTACATGTTCTTTTTCTATATGCATACCACTTGCTTTTCAATTGACAGATTTTTTTTTTTAATAATGCATGTAGCTGAATATCATGATACGCATTATACATTGTTAAAACCATTGCATGATTTTTCCTTTACCTCTTTCAAAAGTTTGAAACTTGACTTTTGGTGGCTGTTCTATGTGTTAGAGAGTTTTACTTTTTTTTGTATCCAGTCATCAATTGTCTTTTCCCCCATTCAGTATTTTTTATTTTGTTAGAGTTTGGGAATTTCATGTATAATTTTATGCTTTCGTACCCAAATAATCTTCCTTCCACATTTCAAGTGTGCCTTATTTTTCTTTTTTGGTATTTGAGGGTACCTTGGATAATCATGGTTGCTGGAACTAAGAGTCTAGCAATCTACCAACACACCACATGGTTCTTGGCATTCAAATGTGCCTTTCGTTTTCTAAATAATGGTATTGTGCCAGTTATGATGAGCCAGTATCATTCACCTTACTTGATGTCTTGGCTTCCAGGCTTCTAGGATCTCTTTCTTAGGTTTTAACTGAGAGTTACTTGGTCCCTGATAAAGGTTGCAAAGTAGTCTGTGGATGTTTGCGAATGTTCAGCTGAAAAAGCATTGTGCTAGGGTGCTAACAGAATGCAGGGTTGCCTAGAGTGTACCTTTTTTTTTTTTCCTTTCTCCTCTGATGGTGCTAACCTTTTTTTTTTTCTGTCTTCTTAATCTTTTTCCTTTTTTTCATTCTTTATTTTCCCATTCTATCCCCTGGTGACATAGTGTTCTGAAGTTTTGAACTTTATGAAATGTTGAAATGCCAAAGTAATCCTCTGACACAGAGTCGGTTTTAAAACAATATTTTACCTAGAATACTATAATTTCCATTTATAGTGCCCAATTGTTAAAGAGGTTCTGCATACTCCTATTCAATGTGAGCCTGAATATGCCTATGTGCTCATCATCTAATCCTACTAGTTGTCTCATAGAGACGAGTGTCATGCCTATAGGACTCCTAGTACCATTGGACTTTTTTTACTATTAAAAATATGATGTGATGCTTTTTCTAACATACTGTCAATTAGTGATGTGGGTAGATTTCGGGTGGTGTCACTCGCTTTTTCTTTTTTCTTCTTTTCCTCTTTAATGTCTATTGACATGGGGGTTTCTTCTTCTCATCACATCCAGGGAGTGGAATGGGCAACTCTTTGTTGAGGAAGATGTGTTAGAATGGCTGGCTTCATTGGCTTCCTCTGATATTTGCTTTGGCCTTTCAAGTGTGCAAAAATATCTTTTTTTTTTCTGAGCATTGCTAAGAAACTTTAACCTCTGGAAAGAAAGTAAATCCCACCGAATTCATGAACTGGGTATCAGTGATATGTTTCAGGATACAACCATCACTTACATTACAGTCTTCTTGTAAAGCATTTATTTTTTTGTCTTGTAAAGTTGAATCTGTTTATTAGGTCCAAAACTTGTAATGGCCTCTTTCATTGTTTATATGACCATATTTGGCTTTCTAATTTGCTTTATAGGAGTTTTGTACAGAAATTGAGGCCAACACTTGTTTATACTTTATGCACTTGTAATTAATATGTTAGCTTTGTCTTAGAATAGGTATAGATGAGCTAGATGCAAATTGTAACATGGGTTTGCTGTTCCAACTGTAATTGTCAATGTAACATATGTACACTCCGGTTTCTGTTTAAGCATTTTCTTTCCATCAAATTGTGAAAGGTTCTGGAGTTTTTTTGTTATCATACTTAAGCTTAGGAGTGGCAAGTTGTGGCTTGCTGCTGCATTCTCTATGTGCTGGGCGGAGAAATTTGGGTTGATTTGGGTTCTGTATCGTGGCTTGATGATGTATTAGTCATATGTATGTTGGAGTAAAGCTTGGAAAGGCCATTCTAATATATTATTTGTAATGATTACCTCTTGTATGGATCAAGTTTTCCTGTCTTTTTCCTTTTTAAGAAAGCCAATGTAGCATACAATGTGTGTTAGATCCACTGGCTTTTATCCATGTTTATACTATTTGTATTGAGGAGCAACAAATCATTCTTGACGGTGTTTTTAGCCAGTTAAGCTCCATTGCTTTCTGATGATGGGTGTCAATGGCCTAGTGAGGAAGGCTACAAAAGTTGCAATACATTCTCTTGGCAATTTCAGAATGTAGGCTCTTCATGTTTTTCTTCATTTATTTGTTTAAATATTTTTGTGATTGTTGTATGTAAGGATTTCTATTCTTGCAAGTTAATGCATCTGGTGTTTTTTTTTGTCATGGGAAATTGGATTTCCGGTTGTATATGATTTTGAGAAATTTGATACAAGAACTTTCAGGAGAAGATGAGAAGGGTGTAAATCTGTGTAATTAATTGGTCCTTTTTGTACTTGTTGAAGACTAAAGACTGTGATTCTTCCCCCTGTCCTGTCCTGATTGATTGGTTTAAGCTTATGCGCCTCCAGCTGCTTCTTTTGTTTCTACATGATGGTTGGATTTCAACCATAACTAGCTCTCACTATATTTAGACTGCATGGACTATAGGCAAGGATTTCATTTTCTGAATCAAATAATATACATGTGTAATCAGCAGCAGCATTGAGATTTCTAATTTGATAATTAGCATTGCAAAATTTGACGTACTTTGGATTTGGATACATGAAATCACAATTGGACTGTAACATCCACAATAATCATTCTAAAAGCCTTTCTCTTGCCATTTTTCGGCATGCCATGGTAATAAGGGTCATTAATGACTACCTTGAACTTGAAAGGTGTCTTTGCTTGTGTCCATTCTGAGATTATTTATATAGAATGCCTATGCTTTCTCAATAGCAGAGACTGTTAGCCAATGGCCATCAGCTACTATTGCAATTAGGGATTGTTTATTTCTTTGGTTGCTTGCGTTTTAGTTCTCAAATTTAAGAATTTTTCTCAGGCCTCCATATGTTTGTCAAAGCTGTATTGGCTTGAGCTTTTGTAGTGAGGGAATGAAAAGAAGCCTTTTCCATGCCCCCAATAAACTCTTACTCCACGTACAAATTATTAAGTCCAATGAAATCACAGTGACATTGAGGTTCAAAAGCAGTCGTGTGTAATTTTGGAGTGGTGGGTGGGGGAAGGAAGGAAAGGGGTAAAATACAAGATTGTGGCTCTATCTGGTGCTTAGAGCCAGAGTTTAATTCAGAAATTTGGTATGGTTCTGAATACACATGTTTGATTATGCATTGAATTGAGAGTTTAAAACGATGTTGCTCTGTAAGGATCGCTAATGCGATAAAGGGATAAAAGGGAAAGCAACCTCCAAACACCAATGCTGTGTTTTCGTTGTGAAAGAAGAGATGGGGACTAATGCAAGATTAAACGAGCGTATATTATCCACAATAATTATATTATAATTAATTCATTATAATTTAAAATGATGTGAGATTTATCAAAATTTTATAATATAAAATTTACATTTATAAGTGGTAAATTTTTATATAATTTTTTTATTGTAAAATATATTCGAAATAAACACATGTTTAGAGAGGCTAATATTAGTATGGATTTCATTGTTAGCTGGGCTTTCAATGGGAACGAGAATCAATCATTATGTGAGGGCTAATTCACTGTCGAAAATTATGAAATTTATACAGAAAATTAATTTATTTAGGAGTAACAAGACCTAAGATCAGCAAATTATAAGCGGTTCTGACCGTTCTTGCGCATCTAAGAAAAGAGTAATGTATATAACAAGTGTTTTTCGCATAAAAATATGAGTATGATTTTATATCTTTAGTTTTGGAAAAATTAAAAACTAAAATGAATATTTCAAATGATATGGCATGGACAAATTAAAAACAAATTAAGTATATGGGAAAATTCTCCTTGAGATGCACCCCTCGCATTTCTTTATTCATAAACAAAAGCCTTGTGCATGCAAACCTCGACTTATGATACAAACAAATGAAGTAAACGAACAAGTATGTATTAATAAGACAGCTTTTCTCAGACCAAAACTAGAAAAGCTGCTGCAACATTAAGTGGAACTAAATTTAGAAGACGAAGTAGCCAGCAATAGCAGCAGCTCCAGCGACTGCTGAGAACCCAAGGGCGGTTGCACCACTGCTAGGAGGCTGAGCAGTGCCAGCAGCACTGTTAGCTGCATCCTCACTGCCAATAGGGCCTTCAACAGCAAGACTAGCATCTCCACCAGTACTATTAGAGGGTGCATCCGCTTCATCAGTGTTCCCAATGGCATCATCATCGGCGAGTGCGGCGGCGGCCTCGGTGCCTCCCTGGCTGCTTGGGGAGGATGCATTAGTACTACTGCTCTTAGGAGTAGCATTGGCAGACGCAGGAGTGTCAGCGGAAACCAGCCCGACAAGGGCAATTAAGACCAAAGCAAGAACAACGACTTGGCGCGCCATATTTTTTTGTTTGGTTGGATTTCTTCGCTGTGATACGAAAGAGAAGAGCAAGAAATAATGAAAAAGAATGGTGATGGAGAAATGCAAGTCGTTCTCTAAGGTTTGATTAACAAAAGAGAAACACCGCACAACAGAGGAGGGAGTGGGAGAGATTTATATAGCGTTTGAATTTGGACAAGAATGGTAAATGGGTTTATCGCAATGCACGGGTTCAAACTTCAAAATACTTTGCGAGGACTCAGGAAAACCATATGCATATTTAGACAGCAGAGGTTGTTTTTCTGTTGTCTTAATTTATAGGAACAATAAATTTGGGTAATTCTGTTCTTTGGTTTTACGGGGCAATTTTGTTTTTCTAAATTTCGGCTCCTGATTTCGGAAAAATAATTTTTGAAAAATATTTATATTTTTTGAATTAAAATTTTTTTTGTTATTTGGATGAGTTAATGAAAAATATTTTTCATTATTTAGTTGTTTTTTCGAAAAATCTGTTTTTTTTTTTCAAATAATATTAATATACTATTAAAATATTAAAAATAATTTATTATTAAAATATATTGAAATATTATTATTAAATTATTATTATTAAAAAATAATTATATTTTAATAATAATAATATTTAATATTAAAATTATTATGTTAATATAAAAAATACTTAAAATAAAACTATTTTTTATTCTTTATATTATTTATCAATATATTCTAATATTATTTATTAATAATATTTATTAATATATTATATTAATAGTATATTATATATTAATATAATATTATTTATTAATATTAATATATTATAATATTATTTATAAATAAAATTATATTCAAAAGTATTGATAAATAATTTTACTCATAAATAATTTTTTTCGAAAAATGTGTTCTTCTTTTTAAATTTGTAATACAATTTATAAAAAAATAGTTTTATTTTTCATTGATCAATAAATAATTTTTTGTTGATCAATTAATTTTCTCAAATAAACATTTGAAAATTAACTTTTAAAAATCATTTTTTACAAAATAAATGGAGTTTTCGTAGACTAATAGTTTGCTTTATTGATTGTTTCTTTAGATAAGTCGGTTGGTTTTGTTGATTTGATTATGAAAAATTAAAAATTGATTTAATTGATCTCTTTTAGAAAATAACCAAAATTAATTGATTTATTTCTAATAATTGAATTGTCATAAGATCAATTAATTCAGTTAATTTGATAAAAAATGTGAATATTTTCATCACTTTTCATCATTAATTTTAAATAATAATTTTATAATAATTTTCAATTAAAAAAACTCATCTTATAATTTTGTATCTAATAATATGTTTACCATTCTTAAAAATATAAATAAAAAATTATTGTATATCTATTTATATTATATATAATGTATTTAAAAACTTATTAAGAAAATCCCTTAAATCTTTTGGTTTAATTATTAGTTTTAAAAATAAAAAATTAAATGAATTAATTGATTAAATTATTTCATTTAATTGATTATTATTGAATTAATTGAATTTATTTAATCAAATTCAATCAATTTCGATTGATCAAACTATTAACTTAAGTTAAGACATATTCAATTAAGAATATAATACTTTATCAATAAATTAGATTAAAACCCGTGCGATGTACGGAATAGTTTTACCTATTTAATATAAGTAATACATATAAATTAATTTCTTTCAAAAATTATATTTTAAAATTTATTTTATATATAAAAATTTATATATACTGATTTCTTATAAAAATATAATTTTTGAAAAAAATAAAAAAAAATGATATGTCCTTCATTAGAATTATTTTATTTACAATAATATTTATACACATAAAATTATATCAAATAAAAATAAAATATACCTTTCCTTAAAAACAAAGACATATATATTATTGAATGATAAATTAAATAATAAAAAAAGTATCAATATACTTTCTCTTTTATAATCTTATTAAATTGCTCAATAAAATATGAAAATATTAGAAGATACGTAGTAAGGAAAAAATAAATTGAAAAAAAATTTCATAAGAATAAAATTGAAACAGTAATAAAACATATCTTAAAAAATTATAAAGTATTTGGAAAAAGTTGGAAATTGAAAAAAAATAAAAAATTGATATAACACATTACATTTATAATCTTAAATTTATAAAAAAAAAATTTAGTGGCAATTAAAATTGAATAGATAAATTTTAAATTAATTTTTTTAATTTAAAAGGGATATAATAAGTAATAAAGATGAAATCAATTTTTTTGCATATATTTGAAATATAAATTTGATAATTAGACTTGAGATGGATATAATCCTTTTGATAGATTTATTATTTAAAGATTTATTATGAAAAATTGTTTGAATTTTCAATGTTTTATATAGATTTTTGAGAATTTTTTATTGATTCAAATCAAGATAAAAAAAAGGTTATTGAAAGATTTGATAAACTTAATCTTTATAATTTTTAAATATGTTAGAAAGATTTTGATAATTAAATAATTTCTTAAATAATATTATTTGATAAACAACTAAAATTATTTATTATGAAAATATAATCCATATTTCATATTTTTAATTTTAAAAAATATATCTCGAAATTGATTTGATTTTCAATTATAATTTGAATAATTTTGATATTTAAATAAATTTAATATTATTTAATTTGTAATTAAAAGAAGCCATCCTACTATTTTAAAAAACTATTCTATATATCATTTTAAAAAATTATCAACATAGACGTCCATATAATATATCTTTTGAGGTGTGAGTGTATGTTGAAATTTATATATGCATATATATATATATATAATTTTTAGTGTGAATATATACTATGTTGAAAATATTTGATTATATTTATAATTTTTACTTGTAATACAACCTCGAAGAGATATATATATATATTTAATAAATAAAGATGATTTTTTTTAGTTGAAAAAAAAGCTTTGAATACTTCAAAAACTTTCAAACAAATATATCTTAAAAAGATTTGGATAACCAATAATTTTTAAATATATTTATTTAATCCATAAATAAAAAATAAGAATTAATTTTACTTATTTAAATAAAATCTTACAAAAATAATAATTTTATCTATTTAATTATTTGAAATCTAAATTGGTTTTTAATTTATATTTTGAAAATTTTGAATAATTCAATAATTTTTTAAATATATATATTTTTATAAACAGTCTAATATTGGGAAATATATTATACGTTATTATAAAAAAAATTTTAAAAATATTCCTACGTGTAAAAAAGAAAAGTTAAAATAATTTTATCTATTTAAATATGTATGAATACACGTAGATTATTATTCTTTCTAAAATTATATTTAAATATTTAAAACATATATATCAGATATATTATAAGAAAATAAAAAATTTGAAAAACTAAAAATAAAAAACTTTCAAATATATATTAAACATTATTAGTTAAAATAATAAAATAAAATAAACTTTCTTCAAATTTAAACCCAACACTCGCAGCAAACAGCCAATGATTATGAGTTCAACATTCATGGCAATACCATTGAAAATTGAACCAGCAAAAAGAAAGCAAGGCCTCCAAAACATGCGGAATCTTTTCGTCCAAAAATCCTTGTTACCATTGAAACAACAAAGCAAGCTGCCAAAGCAACAGAGGGAAGAGGTGAACAGGGTCAATAGCTAGTTATCAAATTTGTAGTAATCACTTTCATGATTGGTTTCATCATTCATTGTTTTGTATACTGAAGGGAACAATTTATGCAAGAATTGTTCAATAGAGGTCACCCTTCTTACAAAGATTACAAAAAATTCAATTTAAGATCTTGAAAATACTTTAAATAGAGATGAAAAAACCATGAATTTGATCCAAATATAATATTCCAAGATCATGACTAAAGAGAATTGAATTTTTCTTATATTTTGAAAGATTAATTGAATGCACCTTGCATTATTTTTTAAAATAACAAAAATATTGTTGCATGATAAATTCAATTATATATATAAAAAAAATATTATCATATTTATACTTTTGTGATCTTGTTTAAATTGCTAAACAAAATAAGAAAAAAGATAGCAGATGTTTATCAAAATAAAAAAAAAATGAAAATGAAAATTTATTTTTTATAAGAACAAAAAATATATTATGCATGTATTACGTATTTTTGTCAGTTATCAAATTACCAATATATATATATATATAATTTTTATTTAAAATTTAAAATTTTTAGATAATTTAATAATTTTTGAAATATATTTTTTAATAAATAATTTAAAATTAATAAATATCTTATGTGTCATTAGAAAGAAAAATCTAAGAGATTTTTTCATTTATGAAAAAAAAAAATTGTTCATGCAAGCGTTCACGTAAACAAATTTTATCTGGTAACTATATATATTGTAATATAATATATGTATATATATATATATATGATTATAACTGATAGTTTAACGTAATTTGTATATCATTATTGCAAAAAAAAAAAAATTTAATTTCTTAGAGGGAAAAATGCAAACCTCTTGCTTGGGTCAAATCTTAATGGGCCATACACTTTTCAGTGACTAATGGACCTAAGCAACATTTAGAGGTAGGCAGGCCCAAAAATTTGGGCGGAAGAAATGGTTTGAAATTACAAGAAAAGTCACTTGTGTTAGGGCTTTGAAATCACAGAGAAAAAGGAAAAGGGGGCCAACATTTCGCTCAAAATCTTCCACACTCATCTTCTCACTGCCTACTCTGAAACACTAAATAAGAAGTAGAAGAAGCGTAAATCGGCGAGGAAACCGTAAAGCTCGGAGAAAATGGCGTTGGCGTTCGACGAGTACGGGAGGCCTTTCATTATAATAAAGGAGCAAGAGCAGAAAACGAGGCTGAGAGGGATCGAAGCCCAAAAGGCCAACATTTCCGCCGGCAAAGCGGTTACCCGGATCCTCCGAACCTCTCTAGGACCCAAAGGCATGGATAAGATGCTCCAAAGCCCCGATGGCGATGTCACCATCAGTTAAGCCCTTTTCACCTTTGGTTTTTTTTTTTTTCAAAAACTTTTTCTTGATCTCCAAGTTTCTGGTTACTT